GGGCAGCAAGAGTGAAACTCCATCTCAAAAAAAGACTAGACTGGCCTAGCCTTCCAGCCTACATCTTTCTTCAGTGCTGGATCCTTCCTGCCCTCGAACATTAGACTCCAAGTTCTTCAGTTTTGGAACTCAGACTGGCTTTCCTTGCTCCTCAGCTTGCAGATAGCCTATTGTGGGACCTTGTGATTGTGTGAGTTAATACTTAATAAACCCCCCTTTATATATATATATATATATACACACATATATATATCTATACATATCTTTATATATCTATCCTTCATATATATCTATATATATCCTTTATATCTATCTAATCTATCTATATATCTCCTATTAGTCTATCCATCTATCTCCTATTATTCTGTCCCTCTAGAGGACCCTAATACAATAATTATTCCAAAATATATACAATACAAAGTTTTCTCAGAATCCTATAATTATAGACAGAGCCCTAGATAAAAGACACAAATCCCACTTGCATTCTTTTGTCACTGCATGACTGACTTCTCAGAAATTCTGCCATTGCTAGATGGAGAAAAAAAAGAGAAAGTGGTCAGATTATTAGAAGTGACTCTTGATCACAGTGAGTAACCCCTAAACATCACACTGTTCCTGTAACCTGGGCTCAACTTTAAAGAACCAGTCATTTGATTGTCATTCTGAAAGCAAACAAAGCCAGTATGTTCATCATAGATGATCTATCATCACGTGAGGAATATGGGTTATGACAATCGCGTTTAGCTAACAATAGTTGACAGGTAAAAGTGCCAAGAGCTTATTAAAAGAACTACACAACAAATAGTTACAAAGTCAAGGGCCAATTACCTCAATAATTCTCAAGACATGAAGATTCTTTTAAGTAAGTTACTGATGTTATAAAACAAAAGCATTCAAGTACAGTATAAAATGAAGACCTAAATTCTGAGGGAAGTATAAAGATAATGAGAACAGGGTTCAGTTTTCTCCACAAGGTAAGGAAGGTGAATGGGGTGAAATGAAATGAATACTTACTGATGAGCATCCACTGTGTGCCAAATATTCATTAAATTATATCATTTCATTTTCATATCACCTCTGTTAAATACATGTTAAAAGCACCTTACAAATGAGGAAACTGAGGTACAAATTGATTAGACTGTGGTGTCAATGTGTGACTAGTTGCACAGGCTTTAGTGTCAGATACACTGGCTTTATATCTGAGTTTGTCTCTTACTATTAAGCCTTGAATAAGTGACTTAACCTCTTGTAAGACCGTAATCATCATCTGTAAATGACAATATTAACATTATTTGCCTTAGAGGGTCATTGTGAACATTGTAAATGTCATGGAAAAAGCACACACAGTTATACCTGGCACAAGGAAGCACTCACTAAGTTAGCTATTGTCTGAGACTACACAGCAAATAAGTAGCAGATAGGATTCCATACTTTCCTAACTCTAAACTGAGCTTCTGTATCATACCTGGTTATTTCTGTAGGCTCCTGAGGTCCTGGAAGTAGAGAATGGAGTTGGGTGACATTGACGGCGTACTAAGAATCTGGGAGAGGAAAGTAAGGCAGGGCGCCGGTATCCCTAACCCTGTTTTGAGGACAGCATTCAGAACTGTTAAAAGATAAACTATAATTTAAAGTCAATCTTAAGAGAAAGGCTATACATTACTAGCTAATTGATTAGAACACTCATCAATGTGGAAGGAACAGTTCACAAATAAAAATACTCACTTTACCCAATACATAGCACAAATATTTCACCTTTGATATTGAATTTGTAAAGATACTGTATTTTGGTTCTCTTACCTTTCTGATGCCCCTAAAATGAGTTTGTCTCCCATGTTATTTCTCACTTAAGTAGAAAAGTTTCTGACAGGTGGCAAAATATCACTATCAATCTTGGCTTTTTTTTTTTTTTTGGTCGAAAGAGTTAAGATGTTCAACAAGTGATAGTATCAAAACAATAAAACCCCTCATCTTTGTTCTTTTTATTTTTTTTTTTTCTGAGACAGGGTCTCACTCTGTGGCCTAGGCTAGAATGCAGCGGGGTGATTACAGCTCACTACAGCCTTGACCTCCTAGGCCTTATTGGTCCTCCCACCTCAGCTTCCTGAGTAGCAGGGACTACAGATGCATGCCACCACACCTGGCTAATTTTTGAGCCCTCAGGCTCAAGCCATCTGCCTGCCTCAGCCTCCCAAAGTGTTGGGATTACAGGTGTGAGCCATTGTGCCTGACCTGAAGTTTTTTTTTAAAATAAGAAAAAGCAGGTTTTCTATTAGTAAGGTAAGTAAACAGCTTTATGTATCTGCCAACTATATTAGCTTCCTTCTCTTTATTCTCCTTATTTATGAATTACCTTGCTAATTGAAAAATAGCCAGGTGCAGTGGCTCAAGCCTGTAATCCCAGTACTTTGGGGGCCAATGTGGGTGGACTGCTTGAGCTCAGAGTTCGCGACCCACCTGGGCAATATGGCAAAACTCAGTCTCTACAAAAAATACAAAAATTAACTGGGCTTGGGGGCATGTGGCTGTGGTCCCAGCTACTCAGGAGAATGAGGTGGGAGGATCGCCTGAGCCTGGTTGGTGGAGGTTGCGGTGAGCTGCAATTGCGCCACTGCCAGACCCTGTCTCAAAAAATTTTTTTAAGAAAAGGAAAAATAATCTTGCTTTTTCTTTAAAAAAATTTTTTTTTGAGATGGGAGATCTCTTTGTTGCCCAGTCTGGTCTTGAACTCCTGGGCTCAAGTGATCCTCCCACCTTAGCCTCCCAAAGGATTGGGATTACAGGAATAAACCACCATGCCCAGACTTTTTTTTTTTTTAATTTATTTAAAAGACAGGGTGTCTCACCTTGTCACCCAGGATGGACTGCAGTGGCACAATCATAGCTCATTGCAGCCTTGAATTCCTGGTCCCAAGAATTCCTGCTGCTTCAGCCTGGGAATACAGGCTGTGCCTGTGCCAGGCTAATTTGTAAATTTTCTTTGTACAGACAGGGTCGCATTATGTCGCCCAGACTGGTTTTGAATTCCTGGCCTCAATCTATCTTCCAGCCTTGGCCTCCCAAAGTGTTGGGATTACAGGCACGAGCCACCACACTTGGCCCTTTTTCTTCTTACAAAACAACTTAAAGTGCAAATCACTTCTAATTGCAAAATGAAAATTACTGCATAGATCTCCCTCTAGTGTTCTGACATTAGTGCAATGCAAGCCATTTAATTATCTTGCAAGCTTTACGGGTTTATCCACATTCAATATATTAATATATTAAACTTTCATTTGGTATTGAATAATCTTTATTCTCTTACCAGACATCATGGTCCTAATTATATGGTATCTTATAATGTGAACAGCTACTACCCTTGAATGTATATTATATTCTATAATAATAGGGCATAGTGTAAACAGTTTCTGTAAACAATGTACTGCTATCCAATTCAGTTCACATTTATTACATGCACAAAGCTAATGAAATGCTAATGAAGTAAACAGTTTAATGTATGTGATAACTGTGTTAACTTCTCTTTGTTCTCCTTATTTATGAATTTAAGAAAATGGCAATGTGAGGAAATCTGATTCCAACAAAAATGGCCTCAATATGTCAACTTTCTAAGAATATCAACAGAGATATATTCTAGGATGTACACATGCATAATCCTTCAGATTTGAAATGGGATACTGGTTGACTGTGATTACAAAACTAATATCATTAACAGGCTAAGTCACTTTTCCTGTCCCACATATTGTCAATAGGTCATGGAAAAAGGATTCCCTGGTAAAGTAAGATTAGAATATATTAGGTTAAACCAAACTAGTCTGCTTTCCTCTCAGAATCTCTGGTATGCTAATGTGCACCATGAATCCCTGGTGCAGGACAGTATGAAGCTTTTCCCAACTTACTTGACTATGGAACTACTTTTTCCCTCAGAATATCTAATGACATCTAAGGAAACTAATGTTCAGTAGAACAGTTTGGGAAATGATCTAATCCAAACAAAGTTGCACTGGCTCCTTTGCTCTCACTGCAAATCTCTACCTTTGAATCAACATCCCTTCTCTGCATTCCCAGTATCTTTCCCATTTGATAAGCCCCGGCTTTGTTCTAAGATCTCAGTGCTATGGAATGTCAAATGCCCTGTAATCTTCCGGGTTTTTTTATTTTAAAGCAAGTGGCTCCACATACAAGGTATCAATCTCCTTGAACGCCAAATAAATCATTTCATTATTACTGAAATAGGAGACGCTGCTTTCAGTCTTTCACAGACCTTATCTATAGACTCATAGGAAATGCAGCCTAAAGCCTAGCTGGTAGACAAATAATAGTCTAAGTTTAGACTTTGCTAAAAAAAATCAGACTATCTCAGTCATCCTCAGTGAACGTAAAGGCAAAATGGACAGCACAATCAGACTCTGGGAAGCTTAACTTGGAGAAGCATTTGGAATTATACTGCAGTGTGATGGTACCCAGCCCCAGTGTAAAGTGAAAAAAAGGGGAGGAGTGAGTAAGGCACAGAGGCGATAGAGAAAAAGACAGCTTTTTGAATCCTCTATAGTTGAATCCTCCCAGTACCAGCTTCAGTAATTGGTTAGAACCAATTTAATTCCTAACAAACCTAGAACACCCCAAACTAAATGTGAATGATTTAAAAATCTATTTTGGATTATCTGCTCTTCATTATGATTCAAGTGTATCTATTTCAGTCAGGGTACATAATACTTCTTTAAACTGAAGAGCGATCTGTTTTCTCAAGTTATTTTGATACTTTCTCCCTGGAGCTAAATTTGGGAGAAAATCCCTTCAAAACATGATAATGCATTTTTAGAGATAGCAATGCTGGAATATTAAATAAGTAAAAAACAATCAAGTGAATCAAGGCCTACCTTATTTTATTTCATTGAATTTGTAAATTCTCTTAATATGAGCTGTATAAATTCACAACTCAGCAATTTAAATTTATAATAGAAATTTATAACCCAACTAAAAGAAATCCATTGCTACATAACTAAAATTATGTAATCATTTATTTATAAAATAACAAACATTTATGAATAGATCTGTTTATTGTACTGTGAAAAGGGTCTTGGTACATGAGAGAAACATTATATACTTTGAGGAGAGCATTCAGAACGGTTAAGACAAAAGACAAACTATAATTTTAAACTCAATCTTGATTTAAGGGAAAGGCTATAAATTATTGGCTGGAAGGCATTCAGCATGAACTCAGATTCTATATAACACATAAGCATGAAAGAGTACAAAAGATGTTGGAGTCCAGTAAGCCCATACCTAAATTTTAACTGTAAAGCTTCAAGAACTTTTTGTTTATTTTTATATACTAGTTTTCTTCTGTGACAAGTTGATTTTATCTCCAAGACTTAACGCCATTCCCTGTAAAGAAGAATGAAGATATTTATATTTATTTAAACTACATATAATCAGTAGGTTATTCCATATAAAGCCCCCATTCAATGACCCCATTATCAACAATAAATCAAAGGCATACTAGCGTTTGATTTATTGTTGATAATGGGTTAATTACTTTTACTGGGTTAATTACTTTTTAGTGCTAGATTTTCAAGTAGTCACTAGATTTTTTTTTTTTTTTTTGAGATGAAGTCTTGCTCTGTTACCCAGGCCAGAGTGCAATGGCATGATCCTGGCTCACTGCAACCTCCACCTCCCAGGTTCAAGTGATTCCACTGTTTCAGCCTCCTGAGTAGCTGGGACTACAGGCATGTGCTACCATGCCCAGCTAATAAGTCACTAGATTTATACCTTGGCTTTCAAAAAATTCTAGAGAACCCATTTCACAAACACTCCACAGAAGTCAATCTGGTTTTAGGCAAATATCCCAGAATGAGGGGCCCAAAAGGTGAGAAATTTTAATGAGAAAGGTTATACTTTACAGCATACTATTATTATATATGTATAAGCATCTAATGCTAAAAAGATATTACATATAGAAATAAGAAAGTCATAAATTCCTCCTCCTTTTGTTCTGTCCAGAGATACGTACTCTCAAAAACAGGAATCGTTACCTGACTCTTTGCACGAATTCTTATGTGGCCAGTAACAGCAGCATCTGGTCCCTGGTGAATTGGCTTCTCAATGCTGACATTTGCAAGTGCATCTTCACCAAATATGGAACGAGCATAAAGGTTGGCTGCCATAAAGCCACAGTAACCAGAAAGGGCCTGGAAAAAATTTGTGATAAATTCATTACTTTACTAGATACCTACATATAGGAAAAACCAAACAGCATAGGTGATTTTTTTTTTTTTATTTGAGACAGAGTCTCGCTCTGTTGCCCAAGCTGAAGCTGGAGTGCAGTGGCACATTCTCAGCTCACTGCAACCTCCACCTCCCAGGTCAAGCAATTCTCCTGCCTCAGCCTCCCAAGTAGCTGGGATTACAGGCATATGCCACCACACTAATTTTTTATTTTTAGTAGAGACGAGGTTTCACCATGTTGGTCAAGCTGATCTTAAACTCCTGACCTTAAGTGATCCTCCCACCTCAGCCTCCTGAGTACCTGGGATTACAAGCACAAGTCACCATGCCCGGCTAATTTTTATATTTTTAGTAGAGATGGGGTTTCGCCATATTGGCCAGGCTGGTCTCAAACTCCTGACCTCAGGTGACCGCCCATCTCAGCCTCCCAAAGTGCTAGGATTACAGGCATGAGCCACCACACCTGGAATCAACTATTTTAGAATGTGCCTCTAGCTGAATAAGGGAGAAGATTGACAAGAAAACAAAAAAACTAATCTGACTATTTAGTTGAGTCACTGCACTAGGAACAAGTAGGATACTATATTCCAATAGAAAGAGGTAAGCAGATTCAAACATCCTATGAATGGCACTGCTTTTTTCATGCTGAATAACAGAAAATATACTAGAGGAAATACAGGAGGGCCAGGAAACTACTATGTAATTCCATCAGATTTAAGAATTTCCTAGTCAAATTTTACCTTCTCTGGTGTCAGGCATTTCATATTGGTTGACTTTAATATGTGCTGTAAGTAGTCATTTAAATCAATCATATTGGTGTTAACTGTCACCTGTAGAGAGGGGAAAAAAAAAGTCAAGGAGATCATAAATCTTATAGTGAGAAAGCTGTGAATTACTGGTATGTCATATTAAAAACTTGTTCCTACTGTTTAGGTTGGAAAGAGTAGACACCAAGAAACTAAATAACATCTATAAAATCCAATAAGCTGCAGGTTGGCATCAGTACTTCCCAATAAAGATAACTTCAGAGATTCAATATGAAGCATATAGATTATTTCTTCTTTTTTGAGACAATGTCTCATTCTGTCACCCAGGCTGGAGTGCAGTAGTTTGATTTCAGCTCACTGCAGCCTCGACCTCTCAGGTTCAAGTGATCCTCCCACCTCAGTCTCCAGAGTAGCTGGGACTACAGGCATGCACCACCACACTGGGCTAATTTTTGTAATTTTTTTTTGTAGAGATGGAGTTTCACCATGTTGCTCAGGCTGGTCTAGAACTCTGAGTATGAGCAATCTGCCTGCCTCAGCGCCCCAAAGTGCTGGGATTACAAGCATGAACTACCGCACCTAGCCTCATAAAGAGTATTTCTAATAAAAGTCAAGGCTTAAAGGGCCAAAGTTCCTCAACAGACCATGAACTTTGTAAAGCCTTTTTCAGACACTAGATTAAATGGTTAACTTTTAGTCATACATAGAAGGTGTGGAATATCATCCATAATGTCCAGACCTATCAGATTAGCTATAGAACTGCTACTCTAATCAATTTATAACAGCAAATTACCAAACTACTTACATGATTTCTAGTTAAGGCTAATTTGCAAGAATAAATACTTAAAGACTACTTGCTTTTCATGTCAGATACTTTTTAGCGAGATTAATTTTATTAGCAAACTTCTCAATATCGGGCAAAAGGAAGAAAGATAAAGGAGTATGAGAAAATCTCCCAAAGACTAACTTTGTTTTCCCATTCAAATTCGGCCCACATCTGACGGAATTCTGCATCAGTGCAAGTTGCAGGCTGGATATAGTCCATGATGTCAATGTGAATATCACTGAGGACCACACAATTTCTGTCACTTGCTGCTCCAGAGACATCATAAACTGCAATTATATATACAAAAAGATTCACAATAACTGGGGAAGCTTCAGTTTTAAAAATTTTAATATCCAAATATCCAAACAACTACAATATTAACAATAAGATTGTTTATATAATACTATGTACAGAGCTCTATTCTACATGCTTTACAAATGTTACTTAATTCTCCCATCAATTCTATCTTATAGTATTATTATCTTCCATCTTACACATGAAGAAATGAAAGCACGGAGAGTTTTAAATAAGTTGTTCCAGATCACACAACTGATAAGTGGTGGGGACAGAATTTATTTTTTGTTGTTAAACCAATAATTCAATTCAGTGAGTACTTACAAGGCAGTTGCAGCGTACTAGGCACTGCAGTGGATATACAAGTAGACGATGTTCCCATAGAAGATGCTTAACTAATATTTTTGAATAAATATTGCTGACCCACACTACTTAATGATACAAGATTAGTCATCCCTCAGTATTAATGGGGAATTGCTTCCAGGACCCCCTATGTATACAAAAATCTGTAGATGCTCAAGTCCCTGATATTAAATGGCACAGTATTTACATAACCTATACATATCTTCTCACATATTTTAAATCATTCACCAGCTTAATTACAGTACCTAATACAACATAAATGCTATGTAAATAGTTATACTGTATTGTTTAGGATATAATGACAAGAAAAAAATCTCTATATGTTCAGTATAGACATAATCATCATTTTTTTTTCTTAAATATTTTCAGTTCGTGGCTGATTGAATCCATGGATGTGGAACTCATGGATACAGAGGGCTGGCTATAGTGTATCTATGACCATATTTGCTTCTATGACCATCTCTTCCACAGTAGAGAGTTATAATCTGATTGGAGCCTGCATTTCTCTTTCCAGGCTCTTTTCTTGACATTCCTCCACATTTCTACTTTCAGAGAAAACTGAGGCTACCAAGAGGCTCCTTTAATTTTCAGCCCCACATCTAAAAACAAATCTCTCTCTGAATCAACTTTCACATCCTTCCCTCTCATACGTTATCAGAGAAGTACTGCCTCTTTTCTTCAAGATTAATACTTTCTGCCATCTGTGATCCCTGCTTTGGTCCAGGACCCCATTCCAATCATTATCTCTTTCATTCTTACATCTTTACCTTCCCATTCTCTACCAACTTTCTTCCATTATAGTCTATAAATATACTCAAGGTTGTCCTTATCTTCAAAAAATAAATCCTCACTCATTCTTGCCTTCTGTTCTTGGTACTACCCTTTCCTATTCCTAATTAAAGCCAAGTTCCTACACTCAGAATAGTCTACACTACCTTTATTTCTTCATCTTCTATTTAGTCTTCAACCTACCGCCAATGCCCAAGATGTCCCACAATAAATGTTTTTAAATCCCTAATAGCCAAATCCAAAAGACCTCTCTTTCAGACTTTAATAACTAGTTATTTGATCCTGTGCAGCTTCAAATACTTCCTGAAGGTTTTTCCTTACTTTTCTAACCATACTTCAGATACCTTTGTAGGCTCTTTTTCCTCTGACCAAGCTTTCAGTATTGTTTGCTTGGATTCTGTTTTCATATCTCCCCTCTTTTTAGTCTTTATGCCCTCTGTGGGTGATTTCTCCTATTTCTGTGGCTTTTAAACAATGAGACAGAGCCTTGCTGTCGCCCAGGCTGGAGTGCAATGATGCAATCTCAGCTCGCTGCAACTTCCACCTCCTGGTTCAAGCTATTCACCTGCCTCAGTCTCCCAAGTAGCTGGGACTACAGGTGTGCGCCACCATGCCCAACTAATTTTGTATTTTTAGTAGAGACAGGGTTTTGCCATGTTGGCCAGGCTGGTCTTGAACTCATAACCTCAGATAATCCACCCACCCCAGTCTCCCAAAGTGCTGAGATTACAGATATGAGTCACTGCGCCTGGTCTATCTCTAGTTTAGACCTCTTGTTCGAGTCCCACACTCACATCAAACTGTCCTTGAATATCTTTAGACACTCTAATACTGAACCTGCTCAAAATTTAACCTATTATGTCTTTCTAAAGTTTGTTCTTCTCTCCTGTACATCCTGTTTTGGTAATAACATAAACAACCCAAAAAACTCAATCTTGAAATCTGAGGGTTACTCTAGCCACTTCCACCACTAACCATACCCTTAACAAAATATTCATCCTTCTCTCCATTCCACTACTGGGTTGGCTCAAGTCCTCTAGCATCTCTCATTTGGGCTTCTGTAATAGTCTACCAGTTAATCTTCCTGCCTCTTCCAATCAATCTTCTATAGTACTATCACAGAAAGATATAATGTTATAAGCCACTCATTTATAATTGCTCAATGATAAAGTCTGAAATCCTTAGCATGACAAATAAAATAGGAAGGTTAGTTATCCTGCTAACCTTCCTAATTTCATTTTTTTCTTGCCGTCATTCTCCAACCCATTCTAAACTCCAAGTATATCAAATCACTTACATTTGTTCTAACTGCATCCTTGCCCATGTATAGTGTTCTACTGAGCACTAGCTCCTCCATGAAATCTTTTCTAACCTTTTTCCCCAATCCCCCAACATTCTGACAACTGACCAAATCCCTTTACGAATTCCTATCTTACTTAGTACAGGCTTTTTTTTTTTCCCCCCACAGCACTTACCATTACTTATTGCACATATCTATTTTATATAACTGCTTTCCCTTACTCAAACACAATCTATCATTTTTTCCTCACCATGGTGGCCCTATCCTTATGACAGAAATTGCAACAAAATAAGCTTATTGACTGAATGACTCTATATAAGCTAATCCCTAGGTCTGAAATACCCTTTTGTGCCTAGCAACAAATGACTCAGGTCAAATATTATCCTTTGATAACATACCATCTTCCTTTATAAAGCCTTCCACGCCGTTAGCATTTTTTTTCTTAACCTCAAAGCATATAGTAAATAAACCATCCTGTATCACATTGGACTATAATTATATATTTCCTTACCCATCTCCTTTTGCCTGACAGTTTCTTGAGGACAGTGACCCTATCTGGTTCATTTCTGTACATCCAGAACATACTACAATGCCTGGTACCATAGAGAGTGCCTCATAAATTAAGAATAAATGGATTTAGATCCTCTCCTCATACAATGTCCGCAGCTAGTCACTATAGAAATTCTTTAGTAAAAATATTCACACATTACATGCCATGAAACAGCACCTTACCTATATTACCAAAAATTATTCCATTTTCTGTTGATGCTACTTTGACGTTGGCTTTAATATTTGCGAAATCATGAGGAGCAAGAGTCAAAGGAGATGGCTTTTCTACAAGTTTCAGATCCCCTGAAAGAAAGAGTTTGGATACGGTTAAAATATATATACATGTATCACATTTAGCAACATGAGATGTATTTTTTTTCTACACACACACACACACACACCCCCATAAAACCTTAAAATGTATGCAGCTTAACAGTTTCTTGTTTTCCCCTTGATGTCTTGAAGTTCCTTAACTCTTGCATAAGCCATATGAAATTTGATGGAGGCACTGCACTGTTCCCATATATAATTTACATTTTCCAACCTCACAACCAGATGTGAAAGTGGGCAGTCTGATTCATATGTCTTTATTAAGAAAAAAATATATATCTCATGTTGCTAAATGTGGTATGATTTATTACTTTGGTCACATGTGGTATCTAATAGTTATACATTCAGAAAATACTTAGTTCTGTAATGAGGCAATCAGAAATTTAAGTGAGCCACCTGCTCAATCTGTGACTTAAATAGCTCTAATTATGTCTAGAAAGACTGACATTCACTAGATTAAGCTTATTAAATGAATCCATTTGAATGTGCCAAGAGCATAAGAAAGTCAGTATGACAGAGGTTCAAAAAACTGGAGTTGAAGGAAACTAAATGGTAATGAAAAACTACGCCTTGGTTCAAAATGTCAATAAAGGTTCAAGAAAGAATTTTTATACTGAAACCTGTGCACCTCCCTTAATCTGTCATAAGGATGTACTATGTGACATCTTTCCTTAATGGTAAATTTCCTCACCTAGTGTAGCTAATTCTAATGTGCAATTCTGCAAAGTATCACTGGTTTGGTTCACAACAAGTACATCCAGGACAATATCGTATTGGTTGACATGAACGTAAGCTTCTGCATACACAGGATCTGAGAAACCTGTCAACTGGGTGACCTGTCAAAACAAAAATAAAGATATAATCAAATGACAGCTGCAATTTCACCAAACATATCCTAGCCAAATGATTAAGTCTGGTAGGTTATTAACAGAGTTGCTTAGATTAGAAAAGTCATTTTGAGATAGGTAAAATAAAATTGTTTTGTAATGCAGAAATGGAAATTGAAGCTAAGCTACGACATCAGAAATAACAGGTCCTAGAGGGTTTTTTTTTTGTTTTTTGTTTTTTTTTTTTTTTTTTGAGACGGAGTTTCGCTCTTGTTACCCAGGCTGGAGTGCAATGGCGCGATCTCGGCTCACCACAACCTCCGCCTCCTGGGTTCAGGCAATTCTCCTGCCTCAGCCTCCTGAGTAGCTGGGATTACAGGCACGCGCCACCATGCCCAGCTAATTTTTGTATTTTTAGTAGAGACGGGGTTTCATCATGTTGACCATGATGGTCTCGATCTCTTGACCTCGTGATCCACCCGCCTTGGCCTCCCAAAGTGCTGGGATTACAGGCTTGAGCCACCGCGCCCGGCCTTGTTTGTTTGTTTTTAAAGTTACTCAAACAATACAGAATTTAAAACTCTGATTTAAAAGATGGCATCCAAACATCTATTTGTTTTTAAGCTCAATAACTCAGTATAAGGTATTATATATGTTGATTTTAAGCTTATAAATTCAGTAGTAGAAAGATGTTAAATATGTTTAGCAAACACATTAAACACTATCCCAATTTAACCAACTGAATACATTTGGATACACCTTTATTTAAATACCTCAGTAAGTAACTAAACTCACTACTTGCTCTGTGAAACTCAGGATTCAAATAAAATCCAAATCATGTGGTAGCCCTTGCTACCTACACTCAGGAACTAAACAAATAATATAGTAAGAAATGATTATAATACCACAAAGATAAAATTACAAATGCCCTCCCACTCTAAATTTAAACACACCTAAAGTATAGCACTTCAAAAATGTAATACTGTCACCAAAAGCATAGGCAATAAAAGAAAAAATAGATTAAACATCAAAATTAAATGCTTTTGTGCATCAAATGGTATTATCAACACAAAGAAAAGGCAACCTACAGAACAGGAGAAAATATTTGCAAATCATGCATCTGGTAAGAGGGTTAGCATCCAGAATATTAAGAACTCCTGAAATTCAAACAAAAAAACCAAGCAACCCAATTTAAAAATGGGCACAGGACTTGAACAAACAATTCTCTAAAGGAAATATACAAATGGCCAATAAGCACATGAAAAGACACCCAACATCACTAATCATTAGGAAAATACAAATTAAAACCACAATGACATATCACTTCACATACCCATTAAGATGGCTATTATCAAAAAAATAAAACAGGTATTGGCAAGGATATGGAGAAATTGGAACCCCCTTTTTTTTTTTTTTTTTTTAACGGTGAAAAGATATACATATATATTTAGAATTAGCCAGCTGGACTCAGTTTAGATGATCCCAATTTTGTTGGCAACAACCAAAGCATCGTAATCAGGAGCCAGTCGAACATATGCCTTCTTCTCTCCATCAGGCCGAATCAGGGTGTTGACCTTGGCCACATCAATGTCATAGAGCTTCTTCACAGCCTGTTTGATCTGGTGCTTGTTGGCTTTAACATCCACAATGAA